CAGCAACTCCTTGAAAACTAAAATCTGATGGAGAGGTGGGGGTTAAAGGAAGTCTGTGTCTGACACAGCATGAAAGTAACCTGAATACAGTTTGTTTTTGTAGTTTTTTTCCACCGTCAGGTGCTCCTCTGATTTCATCAGCTGTGTTTTGACACCAACACCACAGACTGATGTCTGTTTCCCACCAGTCACTTCTCACTCCTGTACAGTAACTCAGTGGCCCACACTGTCACCTGTCAGTGGGGCTAAGCTGGGACGCTGACTCCACTCTGCGTCGCCCATCTGTATGCAGCGCCAGCCCATACTGACGTGCAGCCTTTACAATAAACAATCTGCAGCCTAAATTAACATAATGGCAATAACTGACGCTGGGCTTCATATTCTAAGTGCTGCGAAGGTCAGAGCTGAGTCTATGAATGTGTCGCTGGAAGCTGGTGGAGGATGTATGAAGCGGAGGGACTTCACCCTCTCTCACTCCCACTCTTTCTTTATTTATTTTCCCTCCCTTCCTCCCTCCCTCTCTCCTTCCCCCTTTCAGCCTTTCCCTCTCCCGGCTCTCTGTAGATCTATCAAGCTTTAATATCTAGTGTCTTGGTTTGAGTAACGGCCTTGTCGAGGCAGTATTGATGAAATGGCTCAGGATCCTGCTCCGTCAGCCTGGCCTAAATAAGCTGCAGACTGATAAGTTTCCACAATGTGAGTGTAAAGGTCATTAATACATTACCTGTTCAGAGAAAGAGAGAGAGCCTGCAGAGGAATCTATTGATTCCCCCCCCCCTTTATTTTCCTCCCTTCGTACCCCCTTGGCCTCTGCACTTCATTTTTCCCCTCCATGTCTTCCTTTCTTTCCATATCTTCCTTTTCTGTACTTGCGTGTGAGGCCTCCCTGCTGTTTGAGCTGAACAACGTAGAGCCAGATACTGTATGTTGAAAATGTGTGCAAAAGGAACCAAAATAGGAAAGTTTATCAAAGTTAGCATAATTGCTAATTGTTAGCCTAAATCAAGCAGAAAGATGAAAGTTTTTTTTTCACTCTATGCAGCCTAGAGTCCTTTGTGGCTGCATTTTGATTTGTTGCTCTGAACACTGATGTTGTCCTACTGTTACTATAAGGAGTGCAGAGAATCTGCCAAGAAAAAGAAGAGTTTATTTTAGTCTTGTTGATAAGACTAGAGTGTTGTCTTGTACAGCCATAGAATGAAAAAAACAAAAACGTGAGGAACTTCTGGCTTTCCTCTCAGCTGATGGCGTTTAATGGGCGTTTTTACAGTTTTATGAATCATAGTAACTCAGCCTCAGTCTTTACAGTTTTTTAGGATCTTCTGCGTCACCTCAAAAAAACATCACCTCTGTATTCTCTCCTGCAGTTGAACAACATGCCTCCTGATGCCAGCAGCGACTTCAGCTTCTCTAAAAAAGGTCAGCTCATCATGAGTGCTGTTAACTCCACCAACAGCTCTGCTCCGCCCACCGTTTCTGCATCCACTTCTATTCTGAGCAACGGTTCGTCTCTACCCATCCATCAGACTCTGCCTTCATCTGAACTCCTCCAGAAGTGGATCCATGTTGCTGCAAAGGTGGGTGGAGCCACAACACACACACACACACACACAACTCTTAAAGATGTCAAATATGTACTACAACATAAATTGTGTTCCTGTGTTTGTGTGTGTGTGTGTGGGGGGGGGGAGCAGGGCCGCCACACAGAGGTGGTCAGTCTGACTCGGCCCCTCTCTGGAGGTCTGGGCTTCAGTGTGGTGGGTCTGAATCCTTCAGGAAGCAGCAGTCAGGGAGTCTTTGTCAAACATGTCCAGCCTGGAGGCATCGCTCACAGGTTTGAGTCTTAAATCTTTGTCCCAGACAGTGAACGTGAGCAGCAGTTCATCAACCTCACTTTGTAGCATTAGCAGATTAGCTGTGCTGTCTGTCAATCATTCACTCTGAGAGGTGAGAA